GTCTTTCTCCCCCCCTCTCTTTTTTTTTTTTTTTTTTTTTTTTTGTGGTCAGCTTTAGAATTTTAAGTTTCACTGGTCCTTTAAGGAAAATTTTTAAATAAAACTTTCTTTTTTTTAAATTAAATTCTACCCGTCAGCAACTTACCTCACAAAGAACACTCATGCAGGAAGTTAACCTGCTCCTACCGCTGTGCGCTAGAGCCATTTGGCACACTTTTATTTCCAATGCTGCAAAATAAGGAATATGCATCGATTGTAAGTCTTTACTTATTATTTGCAAGACTAGCTCTTTAGCAGAAAACTATCATTTTTCCATAGGAATTTCTAATTATATGTATGCGTGGTCTACATGCCTTCATTTCTTACATATTAGATTGCTTCACAGCCATCAGCTTATGTAAAGGAGATTGTCTCCTTGGGCAGCTCACTCGCAGAAGTGCAGAGTTCTCTCCTCCTTTTTCTTTTCTTTTTCTTTTTTCTTTTCCCCCAACCTTCCCCCTAGTTTAGGTTTTCTCAGCATAAATCACCCTTCCTGGTGTGATGAGAAGCCTTGAAGTCAGAAAGCTAGTGAACAGGAGGGTTTTTCTCCCCAGCCATTGGCTGTCATTTTACACACACACCGCACAGCACTGTGGGAGACGGAGTGACTCTGAAATCCCTCAGCCTTGAACAGATTCCAGCTGCACCATTTACCAGCTGGGTGACATATGGCGAGGTACTTGACCTTTCTGTGCTTCCAGCTCCTCATTTTTAGAATGGCAGTGGTGGCGATGCCGACCTCATCACCACTGTGCGGTTTTAAATGAGAGAAACGCAGGTAAAAGGCCTGTAGCATAGCTGGTGTACGTGAGCATGCAGTTTAGCTACTTCTGCTTTTTAAAGCACAAAAAGTGCACTGTTTTACTCATCTTGAGGGTTTGCCAATATTTTAAATGATCAGAAAATGAGGACTCTTAGTAATTATGATTGAAGGACCAGCAGATGGTGTAATGGTTATGTTGTTGGACTCCCACAAGGTCGACCACTGTTATTGTCCCAGACTTGCAGTTTCAAACTCACACTGGGTGGGCATGCGTAAGTGCCCAACCTCAGAAGAATGGAGGAGAAGGGATTGTGGTATGACCATCCCCCACCCCCCCGGGGGTGATTTTTCACTTTCTGTCTTTCTCTGTCTCTCCAGCAAATGCATGCTCCCTATAACAAAAATCTCTAAAAACAAAAAACAAAACAAAACCAAAAAAAACCATAAAACAATAAAACAAACAAACAAACCTTAACAGAGATTCTGAGGCTAAAATCATTTGGCATGCATAGCTAAACAATCATAATTAGCATAAGGGCTCTAAACTTTACTGCCCTTTAAAAATGAAATGAAACACCGTTAGTAGAGTTTATCAATCCAAAACAAAAATGTAAAGTAAAAAATCACACGTCCATAAGATTAATTTCCAAATGTCAACATATTTTTTAATGATCTATAAATGCCTTTGAAAGGCCATTTCCTTAATTTTGACAAGGTAGAATTGAAATATTATAGGCAAATAAGCATCATGTTTATTTTCAAAGAACTCAACAAGGAAAGAGTCAACACTCTCCATTCATAACCAATTTGTAAGCCTTGTTATCAAAACACTAAAATATCTCCAAAATCATTATACTGAATGGGCTTGAAGTCTGTTTTGCTGCAAGTAATAAAAATCATGCCTAACAGTGGCTTAAACACACAGGGACTTATTTTTCTCATGTAACAAAGCGTTCTTGAGAAAGATGCTGCTCATACTGACTGAGCGGGTCAGAGATTATTTTAGCCCCAGAATCTGTTGAGGTTTTGTCCTTTCCCTGGTGATTATTGCCTGGTGGCCAGAAGATAACCATTAAAACAACCGATACCATGTTCAAATTCAAGAGAGGAAACAATGATCAGCAATTCCAGCCATCTTTCTTTTCATTAAGAAAAACAAGCCCTCTGAAAAATCAAGGAGATTTTTGGCCAGGATCATGCCATATTGCTACTCCACTACAAGGGAACCAGGAAGAATATTTAATTTTCAGACTCTGAAGTAGAGCTATCAAGAGAAAATAAGGATGAGAATGTCTGTTGAGTTAGTGATTAAAGCTTGGCACACAGTATCAAGGAACTTTTTGCTCTAAAACCTACAAACCAAGTTAAATAGATCTTGTTACCTGCTCTAAACTCCACTGCCTTTGAAAAAAAATGCTATTTTGGGAACCACCAGATGGCATAGCAGTTATGGTGCTGGGCTCCCACATGGCTGACCGCAACTCAAGTCCCAGACCCAGTAGCTTCAAAACCATGCTGGGGGTCCGAAAACCTCGGGCCTCAGGATGGCCCGTACTATGGAAGCACTGGCAAAGAAGATCTATAAAGGAGTTTTAGTGGCTGAACTTACAGGTATTTTTGGAGCATATTTTTTGTTTACTAAGATGAACACAAGCCAAGATTTCAGGCATACAATGAACGAGAAATTTCCTTTCATCTTAGAAGTTTATTGCAAATCCATCAAACAATCTGGAATGTATGGGATCAGAGAACAAGATCAAGAAAAATGGCTGAATAGCAAAAATTAGGACCAGTCATCATGCTCAGCCTCCCATCTCAGCTGTTTGAGACCTATGGGAGAAGAAAGATGTACCTTCCACACTGCAGACTCTTGGGGCCCCACAGCACATCCTCTGGAGTACCAGGGACTTCTGCTCTGCTCTGGCTTGAGCTTCCCACCCACAGTGCAAGTCAGCTACTTGTTTGTTGCTTTTCTTCTGTATTTATTATTACATATCAATGTTTTACAAATAAAAGACTAAGGAAGGATAAAAAAAAAAAATCATGCTGGGCGTGTGTGCTTGTGCCCAAGATCCCAAGAGAATGGAGGAGAAGGGATTGTGGCATGGCCATACCCCTGGGGAATGATTTCTCACTTTCCATCTCTCTTTCTCTCTCTCCCTGTCTCTCTGGCGAGTTCATTCACCCTACAGCAAAAATTCTCTCAATTTTTTTTAAAAAAAGCTATTTTCAAATTCTGCCTTAGAAGCATTTGAATATTGATATTAAGTCACTCGCCTTTATTTCCTAAAAGGAATATATGAACTTAATTAGTGTTAAACTTGAGACCAAATGTTTCTACCTAGGCTCAGAATATTGTCTTAGGGGGCCGGCAGGTGGCATGGTGGTTAAGGGCATTGGACTCCCACAGAGTTAACCGTAGTTCAAGTCCCAGACCTGTGGCTCGCTTTCTCACTTTCTCTCTCTGTCCTTCTCTGGTCAAAATAAGAAATATAAATAAATAAGTAAAGTTAGATTAAAAAAAAATCATTAAAAAATATTGTCTTGGTAACAAATTTTTATTGCTTAGGATGTGATGGTTTGCACTACTGAATCCATAAATAAATTATTTTACCAAAGGGAGGCAAAACAACTGTAGTTATTACCAAATCCTTACCTTAATGACTGTTAAATAATTTGGCGAATATTCTGGAGTCTTACATAATTTCAACATGTAGGACATTCCTCATTCATTAAACTCATTAGACCATTAAATCCCTTAGGTGATATTTATTCCATGTGGGAATATAAGAGCCACATTTGCTTGGCTGTCCACCCCCCCTTTTTCTCATATATTTTTACCACTCATATTAGTATATTCTAGCATCATCTTTTTTTTTTTTTTAGCTTTTGCCATACGGCACATGCATTCACTGGAGAGAGACAGACAAAGTGAGAGGGGATGTGAGAAATCACACCCCCAGGGGTTGACCATGCAGCAGTCTCCTCTTCGTTCTCCTGGAGTTTTGATTTGGGGCATGCATGCACATATGCCTGGCGTGAATTTTTTTCTTTTCTTTTTTATTTTTTTCTTGGCATGAACCATGGCTGGCCATGTGGAGTCCAGCGCCTTCACCTGCACACTGTCTGCTTACCCCAGCAGCATTGTCTCTTAATTAATGGGGTACCAAGGATAAAATAGTGGGAGCGTTTTCTCCCAGGTCCATATGCCAGCGAGTGCATGGTTTGTAGATATTTTAAAACCAGTGGTAAGACTGAATGAAAGTTGACCTACTTTTTATTGCCATCATATACCGGCAATTCTAGACTTTGTGAGTGCTAAAATAACCTCCCTGCCAGGATACACTTCTCTGACTCCACCTCCCCACTTTTAGTATGCACTGCTTTATAATTTTAGTTCTTCCCTTTCCAATAAATTGTTTACGGTCTTAAAGAGCAAACAATATCTGAAAAAAAAATCAATATGGAAAAAATTCAAGATTTCTTTTCCAGTTTTATCACCTTGGCTATAGTCATGGTACCATAACTTGATTGAAAACAAACGGAGAAAAGGGAAATGAACAGAATTTAAATGAATACAAATTGGACATAAAGATGAGCTGTAACTGAGTAGGATTTGACTATTGTCTGCAAACTGTTTCTGCTTTTTGACTTTTGAATACATTTCCTCTCCCAGAATGAGGGGAAAAAAAGTAAAAGAAAACCCAAACTCACATTTCACTTACCAGTGGATATTGCCAACTCTTCATTTCTATTTTGTTGTTTTTATTTTGAAACAGGACATGTACACTCACTGGAGACAGAGGGAAGAGAAAGTGAGAGTGCACCCCAGGGGGGACGGCCACCCCGCAGTCTCTTCTCCTCCATTCTCCTCTCGGGTCTGCATTCAAACCATTCAGTCATGTGGGATCCAGTCTCCTTAGCCACCACGCCACCCGGCTGGCATAGTATTTCTGTTTTGGTTTGCAGTTAAATAGGGAACACAGGGGGAGAGAGGCAGCATTATGGAAATCCTTTTTTTTTTTTTGAAGAACTGTAAATATATAATTAATTTTATTGTACAATAATGTGAAATTCCAAATGTTAAGTGCTTGCTGACCTTCTAATCTTTGTTTTCCCTTTATGTCAAGTTTGAAAAGAAAACAACAAAGTGGAAAGAGAAATTTCTTGAATTCACCATTACCCTTCACTTCCCCAGGGATTTTTGGACAGAAGCTGGAAGACACTGTCCGGTATGAGAAGAGATATGGGAACCGCCTGGCCCCGATGCTGGTGGAGCAGTGCGTGGACTTCATCCGGCAGAGGGGGTTGAAGGAGGAGGGCCTCTTCCGACTGCCAGGCCAGGCTAATCTCGTGAAGGAGCTCCAGGACGCCTTTGACTGCGGAGAGAAGCCGTCCTTTGACAGGTAGCTACCACGTTTTTACTAACCATCCTGCACTGACACACTGAGACTGAACTTGAAGCTTGCAGCAAACAGAGATGGCATGACCTGGATCCATGTGGTACCACTTCAAAAGACATACTACTTGGCCCCACAACTTTGGATTTCTAAATTTAAGTGACAAAGTAAAAAATTTGGCACTTCAGATGTCTTTCTCTTCTATGCTTTTTTCCCCTCCATTTTAAAATGGCATTTGTTCTTTTCCTTTGGCTCTAAATGAAAACAATAGTAAACCTTCTCATTGGAAAAGATGAAATTGAACATAGGTGTCTTTAGGATCGGCACATGGTGGATGTCACTGGACATCCACGTAGATGACTGCAATTTGAGTCCCGGACCTGGTGGCTTAAACTCATGCCAGGCACGTGTGCGTACATGCCCAAGATCCCAAGAGAAGAATGGAGGAGAAGGGATTGCAGCATGCCCATCATACCTGGGGGGTAATTTCTTGCTTTTTGTCGCTCTCTATCTCTCCAGCAAGCACACGTGCCCTATAGCAAAAATCCCTCTAAGAAAGAAAAAGAAAGAGAAAAAGTAGGAGTTTTCTCTTGTTTAATTTTTAAAAAAAATTCTTTCAGTTACAGGATATTGGAAGCATTGATAGGTAGAGATTGGGATATTGACAATTTAATTTAAAATAACTATTTTAATAGTAATAAGGGCATTATATTTTTAAAAATGTATAGCTCCACCTAAATCTAGAATAGATGCACAAGGAAACAAGGATACATACAGTGTGGTGACATTAAAATCATAATGGAAGTTCCGGAGAAGAACTATATGTGCATCCATAACTCCATTAGTTAAGAGTTAACCACTATTAATATTTTGTGAATTGTCTCCTCTTTGCTTTTCAAAATTGTACTAGAGGTCCAGACTCTGTGGCACAGTCAGTTGTATGCCAGACTATGGATCTGGAAGCCACCTGCTGACCATGGTTCAAGTCCCCAGCCCCGTCAACCTGAAAGCACTCTGGGTACATTCAGAGATGTCCAGAGCCCTGATGGGCTGGAGGACTGGAAGACACAGATTGAGTCATGACTGAGCCCTGAGGAGGCTGCTTTTCTCTATTTTCTTTTCTCTCTCTTGTGCACCCACTTTATCATGAGTAAATAAGTAAAAATAAAGTTAACTAAGAAAAATATTTTATCTTAATATTATCTGGATGCCCTGATAATAAAAATGCTCTTTCATTTCAGTTTGTTTTAACTTAACACTTTGTCACCAACTTCTTTAGGTATCTTTTTTAAAAGTTCTTTTTTGGATGTATTCCTTTCATTGGAAAGAGACACACACACACAGGCACCCTCAAAAGGGATTTGCCGGGCTGTGATCCTCCCCCAGCCTGCCAAGATCTCAGGTGTGCATTAGTGCACTGGTGTTCAGGTCAACTCAGAATCCAAACCAGGGCCTCCCCTGTGGCTCCGCTATACCACAACAGTGCACTACTGCCTGTACCACTCTGGCGAGACCGATAAACATCGTTTTAACTTCTCATAGTTAACTCTATAGGTATATTATTCATAACTGCTTCAATATTATTAGTCATTTATATTATGACTTTGCTACAATTGTAAATAATGTTGTGGTGCATATATATCGCCTTTTCTCTTTAATGTTATATCATAACCACTTTTCCATGTCATTAAGTAGTTTTCATAAATATGGTGTCAAGAACTGTACAGTAATTCATCATGTCTGTACATTGGTTCCTTTAATCCTGCCTCTGTTGTTGTTTTCCAAGTTTTACACATATTAGTCCTCTGTTGAAAAGCATCTATGTTCATAAATCTCCAAGTATTTTTGAAGCTAGGGTCCATTCATTCGCTATAGGGCGCGTGCGCTCGCCAGAAAGACAGAGAGAGACATAGAGACAGAAAGCGAGAAATCACCCCCCAGGGGGGATGGTCACGCCACAATCCCTTCTCCTCCATTCTCCTCTCGGGATCTTGGGCACGTACGCACACGCGCCCGGCGTGAGTTTTAAGCCACCAGGTCCGGGACGCGAACCGCGGTCGACTACGTGGGAGTCCAGCGACATAGCCATTACGCTAACTGCTGGTTCCCAATCTCCAAGTATTTTTGAAGCTAGGGTCCATTCAGGTTTCAATGATATTTTATGTGTGAATATGACAAGTATGTTGTCCTATGGGAAGAAAAAAAGTGAAAGAGGGGTTGAGAAGAAGATATTTGGAACATACACTATTGAATTTAGGTGGTTGCTGGTGCATGCACCCACTTTTATTAAACCATGCACTTATTGCTCTTCTTAAATCATATCAAATACTGTTTTCCAATTCTGAAGTCCATGTTTGAGACCATGCATGACTTACTAGTTTTGAAATATTCCTATAGACTCCTCGACTAAAGTGAATTTTGAGGCAAATGACACTTTCATTAACTTCAAAGAATTTGTACTTCATCACTTCCTGTCAACTATTGAAAGAAAGAAAGAGAATCTAACAGTTCCTAACCATTCTCATCATCATTCTTTTTATTCAGAAATAAAAACAAATCGAAATATAATATCTTATATTAAACCTCCCCACTTTTAAGGGGACAGAAAAATGAAATGCAAAATGTGTGAAATCGAATTAGAAGCTGAGTATTATTTGGTTTCCCACACTGGCCGGGTGGTGTCAGCTGCTGGAGAAGATCTGCTCTGGAAGAGCTGGGAAGGTAGGGTCAAGAATGGCAATGTGGGTGTCACCACCACAGCATTAACCGCTCTGCAATAGAAAAGCTACACGCTTGCAAGGCGGTGTTCAAGAGCAAGGGCAGAAGAGAAGGCTCCATGAAGCCAGGCATTTCACACGTTCTGTCCAAGAATCCCATAAAACAGCTGCTGACTGAGGTACCCAGCTGCCCACCCCCACACTCAAGTGCACGCCTCCTTGTCCCCCCCTTGCAAGGTGGTGTTCAAGAGCAAGGGCAGAAGGCTCCATGAAGCCAGGCATTTCACACGTTCTGTCCAAGAATCCCATAAAACAGCTGCTGACTGAGGTACCCAGCTGCCCACCCCCACACTCAAGTGCACGCCTCCTTGTCCCCCCTTAGCATCTCTCCTTTCAACTGCAAGTCTACTAAGATAAAATGCAAAGCAAAAAGTCTAAAATTCAGAAGATAAAAAAGCCAGGCATATTTTAATTTAACCCTCTGGGAGGCGATGAAGTTCTGGACATTACTAACCTGAGGTACAGAAAGTGACCTTGAAACTGAGGAGCCCTGTAGACAGACTAGAGATTCTCTAATAGTTTGCATTAAGAGTGACTTCAAAGACTGCCTCAGGACTTAGATACCCAGACATCACTCACTCTCATTCTGGTTTAAAAGGTTGAGAATGCCTGGTACTCTGGATTTAAAACAAATCTCCTAGGAATTCTTATATATATGGTTCTGAAATAATTTGAGAAGTACTAGTGAGACTACAGGCTGCAGAAGTTGGGGGCTAGGGGTATCACTCACTAGCTGTGTCTCAGTTTTCCTTTGTCTGAATTGCCGAGGTAGTGGGGCTTGACCTGACAGTATTACTGGGAGCAGCATGTTAGATTTGTCTAGGCTAGGCAGGTCTTATGCTACTGTGAAAGATACATTCTTTTTTGGAGTATGGAGTTGATGAGCAAAGTGCATAGTTCTCTTTCTTTTCTTGTCTTTCTTTTTCTTTTTCTTTTTTTTTATTTTAGGTTTTTGTCATAGGGCATGTGAGCTTGCTGTAAAGAGACAGAGCAAGACAATGAGAAGGAAAGTGAGAAATCAGCCCCCAAAGGGACAGCCATGCCACAACCCCCTCTTTTTTAAAAAGAATTATTTTATTTCATTGTATTTATTCACTCATATATTTTAATTTGATCAGAGAGAGAAAGTGAGAAAGCAAGCCGCCACATCCAGGATTTGATCCGTGGTCAGCCACGTGGGAGTGTCCAATGCCTTAACCACCATGCTACCTGCTGGCCTCTACAATCCCTTTTTCTCCATTCTCCTACTGGGATTTCTGGGCATGTATGCCCAATATGATTTTCAAACCACCAGGTTCAGGATGTGAACCACAGTCAATCATGTGGAAATCCAGTGCCTTAACCACCATGCCACTTGCTGTCCTCAATACATAGTTCTCTATCATTGAAAATGGCCTGAAATTTTAGGACATCCTGAAAGGTACATACTAACACCTTTATGCTTTGATCCAAGTAAAACTCAAACACTGGTGAGTTCAACAGCAAACTACAGTTACAGGAGGCTTTGTATCACAGTGTGAATGAAAGATCTAAGAGTAACATTGGTGGAGGAGAGTGGAGAAACCTGTGGTAGCTTGAGGGCATGTGGATAGGTAAAAGGGATGAATTCACAGTCCTAAAGGGTTGAAAAGCAAAGAACAGACTCCCAAGAGTTTGCCTAAGGCAAACCTTGATGTGCACTGGTTACTTATTTTCTGCTCGTAAATGATCTCTAAGTACAGAGAGAGACCAAAGTCCTGAACAGCTGTTCAGTTATGGTAACACTTGATGTTTCCTCCTTCTTCTTCTTTTTTTTTTTTTTTTTTTTGGTGTAGTTCTTAAGTTTTTTAAAAAGAATTATTTTATTTCATTGTATTTATTCACTCATATATTTTAATTTGATCAGAGAGAGAAAGTGAGAAAGCAAGCCGCCACATCCAGGATTTGATCCGTGGTCAGCCACGTGGGAGTGTCCAATGCCTTAACCACCATGCTACCTGCTGGCCTCTACAATCCCTTTTTCTCCATTCTCCTACTGGGATTTCTGGGCATGTATGCCCAATATGATTTTCAAACCACCAGGTTCAGGATGTGAACCACAGTCAATCATGTGGAAATCCAGTGCCTTAACCACCATGCCACTTGCTGTCCTCAGTACATAGTTCTCTATCATTGAAAATGGCCTGAAATTTTAGGACATCCTGAAAGGTACCTACTAACACCTTTATGCTTTGATCCAAGTAAAACTCA